AGTGAGGTGGAGGAAAGAGGATGCATTTGGGACCAAGAGGTTAGTGGGGAGAGATGGGTAAATTTTATTTTTATTTTTATTTTTAAGTAATCCTTTTTAGTTATGAATTATTATTATTTTTATTATTTTGACGTATATATTTTTTTATAATTATTATTATTTTTTATTTTATTTTTTTTTTTTTTTTTATTTTGGCTATTACAATGAAGTTGGTTAGTGCTTGCTTTTTTCACAACAACAAGAACAACGAAGAGAATTGAAAGGTTAAGTGTAAGGTTTCTTTGTTCCAAAGGATCTCTCCCCTCAAGTTTTCCCTTTGCTTCTTCTACTTGCTTAACATATTTCGATTATGGATCAAATCCAACGAAGAAAAGATAAATTGTTGTTGAGATCGATTGCACTAGAGAGAAACGTGCGGATATTCTAACCAAGGCCCTAAAATGGTTAAGTTTGTAGAAATACGAGAGCGGCTGGGAGTGAAGAATCTCGAACAAAGTCACGTTTATGAGTGAGATTGAGAGCTATAAACTTAACTCAGTAGAATAAGTTACTAACTTTCGTGGACTAACTTTAGAAAAATTTTTAGTAGCTTGGTAGAATTTGTTACTAACTTATAACTTAGGTAGAACTGTTAGTAGTTGTCAAACTGTGAACCAAGTTTAGCGTTTTAATTAGGCCGATTGTTATTGCTTCTTAAATTGTGGATAAAGTTTACAAAACTAGTCAATATTTTCTCCGCCGTAAATAATCATTAGATGTTTGTTGTTTTCACAACCAACAAAAAAGTATCAAAAAGCCTGAGTGCTCAAGGTTACTCTATTCAAAAGTTCTTTCCCCGCAAGTTGTTCCTCCCGTTCAACTGTTTGTTTCAATATATCTCGATTGTGGGATACATCCAACATTTAAATCAACGCCTTGGAATTTGCCCAAGATCTCGGCTCCACTTTGAAGTTTTCGCCATCCTTCTCGGCCAAAGTGGCTCCACCGTGAGTTCTATCCCTTGTCGGCTCAACTCTCAAATTCTGAAGCTATTTCAAGATTTGGCTCTCCATCACTAGCGGTATCGCTAAGTCCCAACCTCAAAGTAGATGGGTGATACTATTTAGCATTGGTTTTGTCACATATAATTTTTAGTTCTTTCTCATTTTAATGGGAAAAAAATGCATCTTGCATGAAATTATGTCGTTATGAACCTATCTATAAAGATAAAGATGGAACGTGAAAGAAATAGAATGCTAGAAGGGTGAAAATGAATGGATGACACCCGGAACTGCAAAATGATGTTATGGAAGGGGTTAGTTGTTGGGGGTTTATGTTTTTTTTTTATCCATCTTGTCCAAGTTCACCGGAAAAGCTCATTGTTGACAGGGTGTAGGAGAGGAAGTTGCTGTTTGTTTCAGCTTACAACACCATTTTCCATCATTAAACTCTGCCTTTGTTACATTAGGTAAGATGTTTGGTACATAAAATGTGGAACTGAATTTCCTTTATAGGACACCAAATTGGGACCCAAAATCTCATTCCCAATTTTCATTCTTCATTCTTCATTCTACATTCTACATTCTACGATTCTCAGCCGCACTGACTCTTATTCTTGATCAATAATCAAATTCTAGCGTCCATTAGCCCAATTGGTGACCATGGGCGACAACCGTAAGGTAGAAAGTTGGCTATTTGTGAAACAAGTTGTTGAAGGAAGATGGTTTTCGGTCTTCACCTCTTTTCTGATCATGATCGGTTGCGGTTCACCTTACTTGTTCGGAACATACTCCAAACTCTTAAAAACAAAATTTGACTACAATCAAACCCAACTTAATACCTTGGGATTCGCTAAAGATCTCGGCTCCAACCTCGGAGTTTTTGCCGGTCTTTTCGCCGAGGTGGCTCCTCCGTGGATGCTTTTCCTTGTGGGGATATCCTCCAATTTCTTCAGCTATTTTATGATTTGGCTCTCCGTTTCTAACTACGTCCCAAAACCCCATTTATGGCTAATGTTTGTTTACATTTATATTACTTCTAATTCACAGAACTTCCCCAACACCGCTGTTATGGTCACCAACGTCAGCAATTTTCCTAATCAACGCGGTATCATTTTGGGCCTTCTCAAGGGTTTCGTTGGCCTTGGTGGAGCCATTCTAACTCAAATTAATTTAGCAATTTACGGCAACCAAAATTCTATCGATCTTCTCCTCCTTCTTTCATGGCTACCCACCATTGTTTGTTTCTTGTGTTTTCTTCCAATTCGGACAATCAAAGCTCGGAAGCATCCACGGGAGCTCAAAGTGTTCTACCACTTGCTTTACGTGTCCATAGCGATAGCGGTGTTCCTCTTGTTTCTCACCATAACCCAGAGAAACATTGCTTTTTCTCAGGCTGGCTATGCCGGTGGCATTGTGGTCATCGTCGTCTTAATCTGTCTACCCCTTCTAATAGCTATTAAAGAAGAACTTTTTCTCTTCAAACTCGGTAAACAAACCATGAATCCTTCTGTTGTTGTTTCACTTCCCCGTGAGCAACTTGAAGAAATTTCAAAACTTTCTTTGCCAAGTGTCTCAAATGTATGTAAAGAGCCGCAAAGAGGAGAAGATTTCAACATCTTGCAAGCTCTTCTAAGCAAAGATATGGCTCTTATTTTCATAGCAACGGTTTCTGCATGTGGGTCGTCCGTTGCAGCCATTGATAATCTTGGGCAGATTGCCGAGTCACTTAAATATCCAAATCATTCCATAAGTATTTTGGTTTCATGGATTTCCATATTCAATTTCTTTGGTCGGGTCTTCTCCGGTTTCATCTCTGAAACCCTTATGACCAAATACAAATTACCTCGCCCTTTCATGTTCGGTCTTACCCAACTTTTCACCTGCACTGGCTTGCTCTCCATCGCATTCCCTTATATAAATTCAGTCTATGTAGCGTCGTTGATCATTGGGTTTGGCCTTGGAGCCCAAACTCCATTGATATTCGCCATAATCTCTGATCTCTTCGGCCTCAAACATTACTCGACACTTCTCAACTGTGGGCAACTGGCTGTCCCACTTGGGTCTTATATAATGAATGTGGAAGTAATAGGGAGGTTTTACGATGCAGAAGCCACTAAAATTGGAAATGTGAAGAACGGGAAGGGCCTAACTTGCACTGGAACTCATTGCTTTAGTGAATCGTTCATGATTTTGGCTGCAGTGACTTTGTTTGGAACGATGGCTTCGTTTGTGCTAGCTTATAGAACTCGAGACTTCTACAAAGGCGATGTATATAAGAAATACAGAGATGACATGGAGGCTACACAGTCGAACGTAGAATTAAATTCTTTCGATGATAAAAACAGTGAACACAAAAAGAAAATTGATGATGAAAGTAAATAAGAGAAACTGTTCAACAAAAACATGCCTACTTTACGACCTTCTACTTTCCTTTTAACCTTTTTTATTTTGAGTTGTAGATGGTGTGATCTCATGGTTCTCATCATAAAAAATTGAATATTCAAAAGAATAAGTAGTAGGTTGTCTTCCATTAATCAATTTTTTATCATCATGCGCATTAAAATTTTAATTTAATTTTTTTTTTTTTTTTTTTAAGGAAATCTTAGTTTATGTTATTATATTTTTTTTGGGTTAAATTAATTTTAAAAAATACCCTAAGCTTATATTTTATCTAAAAAAACTACCTATCAAATTTTAAAATTATTATCTCTTCGAGTTTCTTAATTTCTTTTTTTAAAAAAATTAAAGGTTTAATATTATTTTTTAAAGTACTGAGCTATTTTTGAAACAATTCCGTTCATGTACTGACAATAAGGATATTTTTGAAGTTTTACAAAAATTTAAGGACATTAATGAAACTTTTAAAAATTTAAAGGTATTTTTGAAATATTCTTAAAATTTAAAGAATACTTTGGAATTCTCTTAAAAATTGGTATATATTTTAAATAAAATATTAATGATTTTCATTTAAAAGGAACATAAACATATTTAAAATTTAAAATTATTTATTAAAAGTTTTAAACTCGTTTAGTGTTTGCTCCCTTTCTTTAGGTCAATAATTACAACTCCAAGGTGACCTCAATCTGGAGGGTTCTCCCTTCCTTAACGATTTATGATTCAACTTTAAAAATTAATTTTCAACGCTATAAAATATAAAGATTTGTAAGGTTATTAGTATAATATTTCCGGGTGTTCAAGTAATAACCTAAAAATCTATTGTATATAAATAAAGTTGAGTGTTTTATCTTAATAATATGGCCGATTAGTTTGTCATTATTTGATCCTAAATCGTTGTGAGCGAAGGTTTTCTATATAATCGAATGAAAATTGACAACTTTGTCAAATTAGACACTAATAGTGAGAAAGAAACTTCTCTAAATATCCCGATGGCATTTATTTGAAAAATAACAAAATAACTCAAAATTGTATTTGATTGTATTTAAAATTATTACATTATATTTTTAGGAAAAAATTCTAATAAGTATACAAAAGTCAACGATCAAAGTGATGCAGAAATGTGATGGGCCTATAACCCACTGGTTTCGAAACCTGGCTTTAACAAATGTGAGACAGATAAACTATATCAATAAGGTGACTTTAAATTTTAAGAATATTTTCTAATTTTTTAAACATTATTAAATGATACTATCGGTTTCCATACAAAACTCTAGGCCAAGGTTTCTTAACCTAGGTTTTTTAACCTCGTATAATGAAGAGTTGTATGCTGCATTCGGGACCAAAAAAGAATTTATTGTGTTCGGGAAGGATGAATAACTCCCAAAAATGAATCTATTGCGTTCGGGAAAGATGAATAGCTCCCGAAAAGGGAAAGGATGAATCATTCTCTTCCAATTGGTTGGAGCGTAGGTAGAATTATTTACTTCACGAGCAACGTCTCTGGTTCCAGGGGACCAAAACTAATTTTTTTTGAAGTTATCGTTGAAATTTGAGAGTAACTATAATGATAATTTTATTAATTTAGTACTAATTTTAATTTAATTTACATTTGACAAACAAATTTTTAGTTTTATATTGAAAATACTCTTACAATAAACTACAACAAAAAATACTTAAAACTACACCAAAGCATACTTAAAAATCTTTTTATATTAAAAAAAAATAAAAGGACGGATTCTCAGTTCTAACTGTTGGGCCGGCCCATCGGAATAAAAGCCCATTTAGAAGAATCTCACTTGGATTCCACAGCGGCAGCCTCTCCCCGACTTGTCTCCTCCTTCACTTCCTCTCTGAACCTCTTGTAAATGTCTCCTCTGTAAAACTCCCTCGTCCTCATCACCAAAACCAGCGAAACCAGAGCCCCAACAAACGTCACAATCGCCATTAACGTAAACGATTTCCTGTAACACCGCTTTCCAATGCAGGTCAATTCCTTCACCGCCGCCCTGTCTATCCCCATCTCCTTCAGCTGCTTCAACGCCTCCGCATCGTACATCATTCCGGCGACCTTCACGTTCAGAATGTACGACCCCAACGGGCTTGCGATTTGGCCGCAATTGAACAGAGTGGAGAAATATTTAAGGCCGAAGAGCTCGGAAATTATGGCGAAAAGTAACGGAAGCTGCGCGCCGAAGGAGAATCCGATGATGACCGATGCAATGTAGACGGAGCCGGGAATTGGGAAGGCGATTAGGAGTTGGCCGATGCAAGATAGAAGAAGAACCAATGTCATCATTAAAGGTCTTGGGAATTTGAATTTTGCGAGAAGGGTTTCGGAGACGAAGCCGGAGAATACTCTTCCGAAGTAATTCCATATGCTTACTAATGAAACGAAGGATTTTACTGTTTTTAATGGGTAGCCGAGGGATTCTCCGATCTGCCCCAAATTGTCGACGGCGGTTAAGCTTGTGCCGAGGCCGCAGAATGTTGCGATGAAAAGCACCATCATGTCGATGCTGAGAAGGGCTTGGAGGATTGTGTAGTCGTCGCCTCTTGCTGGTTTGTCGCAGATGCTGGAGAAACAGGACGGCGGCGGTGGGTATGGTTTTGGGTCTGGATTGTTCTTGATTTCCTTTGATTCATCTGTGGAAATTTTGGGTTCTGTTGGGTTTTCGATTGGAATTGGTGGGTTGATCTTAGAATTCCAAATCTGAAGCTCTTCTCTAATCACGATGAACAGAGGAAGGAAAAGCAGAGCACAAATTACGGTGGCGCTTAACGCATAAGCCGTATGATTGAATTCCACTTCCTTCTGAATAATATTCATAAGCATAATGAAAATCGCCAACCCAATTGAGACATAAAGGAAATGGTAAAAAACCCTTGTCTCGTTTGGCCGTCTCTCCGCCTTGAGCTTTCGGATATTGAAAATGAACACGACGGAGAGAGCCGCCGGAAGCCACGCAATTAGAAGGATCAACGCAGTGGCGTCCTCGCCGTAAACGGCTAAATAAATCTGTGTAAGAATAGCGCCGCTCAGCCCTGTGAAGCCCTTTAAAAGGCCCATCATAGCGCCACGGCTCTCGGGGAAATTCTGGATGCAAGTGACCAACGCGCCGGTATTGGCGAAGTTTTGAGAATTTGCGCCAACGCAGATGTAAAGACACATTTGCCAGACTTTGGGTTTTGCGATCCGGCCAGTAACGGCGAGCCAGATCATGAAGTAGCCGGTGAAGTTCAAGACGGAGCCGAGGAGGAGGACGAACCATGTCGGTGTCACCTCCGCCACTAAGCCGGAGAGTACACCGACATTGGCTCCGAGATCCTTGAAAAAACCCATCAGATTTAGTGTCGTCTGGTCGTATCCGAGCGTGGATTTGATCTGTTTCGAGTAGACGCCGAAGAGATAAGTGGCGCCGGCGCCGGCCATGATCAGAAATGTGGCGAAGACAGTGAACCACCGGCCTTTTAACACGTGCAGCGCAAATTGGAGCAATCCGCCGCCCCGGCCGGCGTCGGCTCCCCTGTTTGTGGGAGTTTCTGCACCCATTTCTGGATCTATGAACTGGGTTTTTTTCTCTCTCTTTTGGGCGGAATTTTCTAAGATATGATTGAATTTTTGGTGGAGAAAAGGGAAAAAGGGAGATTAAATAGTTTGAGTTTTAGTTTAAATTTCAATCTAAATTGCTTTATTTGGAGTGGATTAAGCGGGGATTTAATGGATTTTGTTTTGGTAGTTACCTTGTGCATAGGGATTACTGTTAACTCACTGAATTCATCCTTAAATATAAATTAACATCTCAATATGATCCTTTACACTTCTTTAAATTTTTCCTACAATTTTATCCAAATCATATACGTGGGTTGTATTTATTGAACTATGGATTGTTTGGGTCGATTCAAGTTCAGAGGTACTCTTGAGTGTCGGTACTCTTGGGTGTCGGCTCAAGTCGGGAAGTTGAAAAAACATAAATATAAAAAGTTGGGGCGAAGTAGATTGGTACTTATTGGATTATGCTGGATCGGTTCAAGCGAGAGATAGAAAAAGTTGGGATCGGGTCGAGTAGCCTAAACTCAGCCAACGTCCTAGTTGGCACATTGTCCTTGCTCATGAAAAATAGAAAGATAAAAAAAGAATAGAAAAATTAAAAGGATTTGGGAGTATTAGGACTTGGATTCGACACGTGAATAGAAAAATGAAGTGAATTTGTCTTATAGTAGCACGGGTTTATGAGTATGGTTTGATTTAATTATAATATTATTTGAAATTACTTTTAGATTATTTTATGCAAATTTGAACACTATGTTATGTTATGATTGTTGGCTTTAAGTTAGCATGAAGTGAATGTAGTGACTTCCGCATAGACTAAGTGGTTTTCCTGTTGGCTTGTGTAAACTATGTGTGCCCTATGACCTTTGCATGTGTCTTAATTTTATGAGTGTTTGATATATGTAAAGTTATGTTTATGCTATAATGTCAGATATGATGTGATACAAGTTATGCTATGTTATAAAGTGTGTTATTGAAGGATTATGTTACAGTTATCAATCATACGTATGTTATAAATTGAAGCTATGGGATTTCATGCATGTTGTATGTCACATACATCAGGGTACTTGCATCATATGTTGTCATAAATTGATGCTTGAGGATCTCATGCATATGGTATGTTACATGCATCGTGGTACTTCCCTATAATGATTTGTACGAATGTGTACGATACGATATCTATATTTACCATGATATTATGGGAGCTCCTTTCCCTCTGTGGTTCTGGCAATGTAAGCGTGCATTAGCGGAAGAGCAAGCTCATGGGGTAAAACCCAAACTAGAGTAGTTGCATTTCTCTTTTAAATTGAAACCCTTGGGTTAGCTCATGGTATTTTTTTTCATTGCTTAATCGTTTCGTTTTTGGCCTTTTTCGTTAATATTTATTTTATTTGAAAATAATTTTTGGGTTCATGTCATCATTTTTGAAATATTTTAAACATTGCATAGACATGTATACAATGACGACCTTATTCTTAATAAATAAAAAATAAAAATAGGATCGTTATCAAAAGATCCAAAAGAATACTACAAGACTCTTAATTCAACATTGTCCACTATCTTGAACTCCACTACACCTTTGTCACGAGCCCACGTGAATCATTTTTTTTTTTAATGATTTTTTGATTCAATACTACCATTATCTTTTTACACATTCATTTCATTAAACTATTTTCCACATTCTATCGACCCCACTTTATTCAATGTAGTGATCTTATCTTTGGTACGAACACGACTCATTTGGATTCAATTTAGTAGCTCTTTTGAGTTATTTCAATATTAAGTTTGAATTGAATAGCTTATACAATCATGTTATGATATTTAAGTTCATTACTCCTTTAAACACAAATAGCTTATTTTAATTTTAGTTATATGATAAGGTGCGACCACATAACCGTAAACTCATAATCTCAATCAACAATTTGAATACGACCCTATAATTTAATTAACAATTAGGGTGTGACCTTATAATATAATTAACCATTAATAATTAAAGTCTGACCCTACTATATAATTAACGATTAGCAATTAAGTTTAAACAGGTAACCCCACATGTTGTCGTTGGTGTATACGACCTCTAGCACAATTTTGACTTTGTTCTAAACAATTTAACAATTTGAAACCAAGTTTTCTAAAATTTCACAATTTACTTTTAAAACTATATAAAATGTTATCACTATTGAAACCAAGTCGAAAAATAGAGAAAAAGGGGTAAAACGGTCAAAATAGGCAAATCTGTGCCGAATAGATCAAATGGGACCTCCAACTAAATCGAGTTGGACCGATTCTCATGAACCAGAAGATTCACAAGCTCAAACTTCTTTGGTTCTCGTTTCTTTACTTCTTCCTTCGACGACTGTTTTTATCTAATTATTTACGATTTTTTCATGAACTCTACGAGTAATATTGATATAAATTGGTTGGAACAAGAAGCAACCATAATCGATAGCTAAAGAAAGAGAAATTCATCGTAAAACGTCAAATGGTTTTGTTCTCGAATGCCTGTTTAAATACAAACCATAAACAAATTTTGGCAAACCCTTTATAGAACAAACAATATCTCCGCCAACTTTAGGTTTAAATTGCAATTTTCAGCTAAGAAATTATTGGGTAAATCCCTTAATAATTCTCGTCAAATTAAGATGTCATGCTTACCAAATCCAGACGAAAGCATGACGTGGCTAATGTTTTAACCTTTTCTCTCTCCCACGTGGGTTATCCAATCGTGTGGCCACTGGAATTTGGATATTTTTTTAATTATCAAATTTTCCAAAAATCCAATTTTCGTTTCCTTTTTTAATAATTTAAAATTAATGTTTTATTCGATCAAATTTAAAGTATAAAGAAAATATTGGTTTCGGTATGAAAAAAAAAAAAATCATCTTGTTGGATGATGAAAGTTCCATATCGGCTAATTTAGGGAATGATCATGGGTTTATAAGTGAGGAATACTAACTCCATTGGTATGAGGCCTTTTGGGATGCCCAAAGTGGACAATATCATACCATTATGGAGAGTCGTGTTCGTCTAGCATGGTATCAGAGTCATGCCCTAAACTTAGCCGTGCCAATAGATTGGCAAATCCTCGAATGTCGAACAAAAGACTCCAAAAAGAAAAAATGAGTCAAGCCTCCTCGAAGGTACGGTGAGGAATACTACTTCATTGGTATGAGGCCTTTTGAGACTTTATAAGCTTTTACAAATTATAGGCTTCCCTTTTTTAGGAAAAAAAATGTTATAGTCAAATTTAATTAATTTAGTTTTTTCCGACCCTCTTTTCTGACCCTCCATTTATAAATATTTAGCACTATTTATGACTAATTTGAAGAAAATTAAGTGATGTCGGCTCAAAAAAATGACTCTGGGCTTAATTTTCTAAATGGAAGAATATCGTAGGTAAAATTAAATTACGTGAAACTAATTTTATGAACATTTGCTCGAGAAAACTCGAATTGATTAACATCTTAATGATGTGTAACTTGTGACCTATAATAATAAGTAAGTGAATGTTATGTGCTTGAATAAATGTTATATGAACGAACATTACATTTTTATTAAAAAATAAATTTTGTATGAGTGATTCAATTCAAAAAATTTATGGCGGGGTTACGTTAATTTCATGATATAATAAGAGTTGTTTTTGTTGAAAAACGATTTGAACAATTAAATTAAGACTAACAAATGTTTCAACCCAATCTAACTCAATCAATTGTGGCGATACCTATGTCGGCTTTGGTTGAACTACCGAACACAATCACATATTTCTAAAAAATCATGAGCGGGTTCAAATAAATATAATTCGAAAATTAGGAATAAAAAGGTACATTTTCCAAATTTTATTCATCTTCCTATTATGCCCTCATTTATATGGTAACTTGTTAACTTTTTGCTATAAAAGAAAATCAAATTAATTTTTTGGACTGCAAAATTAAATTCAAGATATCATTCTTTTAATTATGGAAAGTTGTTTCTGAAAGTTATCAAATCAGATTCTCACCTATCTACACCTTTAAAATTATTAAAAATATATTTAGAGTTGACTTTGTCCGTAAATTAAGTCTTAAGATAATTCAATTTTTATTCTCAAACTCAAGACTAACATGAGCTTAAGGTTTCTTTCTTAACTCTCAAAATATCCTTGGCTAATATGAGCTCGAGGTTTCCTTCGTAATTTCTAAAATTTCTTCATATAGGTAATTCAGCGAAGGGGAGGATAAAATTGTCGAGAATAATATTCTACAACAACCAATTCATTTATTTTCAAATGGACCCATTTACTATTATTTATTTGATTGACTAATCCTTTGTATTACAATGGTTGAAGCTTACCTAACCAACTTTTACCCACTTGTCCGATTGTTGCTAAGCAAATTTTGGATGTGGCCAATTTTCCCTGTTTTGCAATCAGTTTGTAACATGCAGCTTTAGCTAATTGCCCCCACTTCCAGATGCTTCTTTTTATTCCATTAATTAGTTAAATTAGGTCTCAGAGTTTATTATTCAAACAATGAGTTAAATTAGGTCGAGAGAATTCAGATTCTTTTTTTATTCAATCAATTAATTAAATTAAATCTAGAGAATTTAATCCGATGTTTCCTTGTAACTCTCAAAATTTCTTCGTATAGGTAAAATTAAGTGAATTTAATAATCCAAATCAAACCTACCTAGTTTTAAGAGATTTTAAGATTATTATAAAGATTAAAAATAAGTACCAAACACGACCCAAAACTGATATAAAGTATTTCTTCAACTCAACCCAGCTTACTTCAGTTTCTCTTTTTCAAAGAAAACAACTAATATACAAAAGCTCACCACAAGATACGAAGTTTCCATCAATAATTTTGTCTATGAGTTTGCTACACCATGAGAGTGAATTGACACTGGAGTTTTATCATAAAAAGACCAACAAAATATAATGAAAATATTATCAAAACATAAAAAAGGCACTGTTGTAATTATACTATCGTTATCTTGCGATTGGCGTAGTTTTTCTGCAAAATTAATTTGTGCAAAATGTTTTTGTACCCTCCACAGTTTTTTCATATATTATAGATAGATATCCTCCCAGATGCACCATGCAGGAGGGTGCGCAACATTCTGTATAGTTAAAGCTAATCGCAGTGTGTACAAAATCCCTGGACTGAACCATAAATATAAAAAGAGTTCCTATAATTACTCTGCCAAAGCAAAATTTTC